GTTGAGCCAAGAGCTTGTGTGAGCAAATCCAATTTTTTGAAAAAAATGTTAGTTACGCGGTTTTGCAGTTACACTTTCTTCATGCATTCTGAAACCTAGTCGTCAACCCCATTTGCGAAATCATTTACCCGGCATAATTTTCTAGTTCATCATATTCCACATCTTTGAATGTACTGATAAAATCTTCTGCTTAAAAAATATATTTCTTCTAGTAATCAGGTAGCATGAATTTGATGAAATGTCATAATTTTATTAAAAGTCAAATGGTTAGCAANAAAATATATTTCTTCTAGTAATCAGGTAGCATGAATTTGATGAAATGTCATAATTTTATTAAAAGTCAAATGGTTAGCAAAAACAACGAATATCATTAAATGAAACTACCTTCTTTTTTGTATCATGGTTGGAACTTGCTTAAACAACACTGTAAAAAGTAAGAAGAAACTATTTTAATTATAGTTGACATGTTTCAAATAATATTTGATATGTCCAAGAAAATAATACAACAAAAAGATCAATCGTTTTATGGGCACATCGCCGTGTCGTTACGTACCAGTTGCGATAATGTGATGGAGCTTAAATTATTTAAAAAGAAGGATGACGTTCTTTGTCGAGTGTTGTTAGTTATCTCGAAAATATTTTTCAGTTTAATAACTGCAAATTTTAATATTCGAATGGCTTTTGCCTATAACTTTCAATTCTTTTTTCAAAATTTACTGACATTATAAAAGAGCTTTGCACACAAGACATAGTGCTAGATATTCTTTTTAGCGAATTATTAGTCATTCAAAGTTTTTGCGAAGTTGAAAAAATTAGTTTCAGCCATAAGAAAATATACATAGATGCATTCCTTAGATAGTGGTACTTTTCCACAGTTTGAAAAAACATGTAATTTTGTTTTTTGTCAATACCACACTCAAACGAAACAACCGAGAGGATCTTAAGTATAAAATTTGCTTCCTGACGCAAATAGAGAAACCGGCTTCTAATTAAAATTTTTTAAAGTGAACTTCAAATCAAAAGTAACTTTAAAATGAAATGTATGGAATTTTTTGACTATTCAAACACTGAAGATTGAACCATCTCAATATTGCTATTCAAATACGTCATAAATATAAAATAATTTATGGCTTCTGTGTACAATGATGTGTACACTCATGTTAAAATGAATAAAACTTTTATTTCTTATGAACTATATTTTATTGATACCACAATATTGTTAAAAACAAGTACTCTGGCATTTTAAAGCATTATCTGTTACTTACGTTCATAATTTTGCTTTATAAAAAATTGTACTGAAAAGTACTGATTTTCTTAGCATGAAAAAGTCAAATGTACTGATTTCGTGATTAAAAAATCTGGCAACCCTATTCGGAGTCGGCGTAAAAACTGTAGGCAAATCTGCTAATCAATGTTTGGCCAACTTTCCGATGACCTAGAGATTTCACAGTTGGCTCAGAACCCGATGATAATGCAATAGGAAAGATGAGTTAATCCGATAGGTGGCGCAGAAGTCGAGATACTTGAAAAACCTGTACTTATAGTCCAATTTGGTTCATATTTAGAACGTATATTAATTACATGAAAAGGAATAACTCCACTAAAAATTTTTCCGATAGGTGCCGCAGGAGTCTATATATTTGGTAAATCAATATTTATGGTCCGATCTCGTACATATTTAAAAAGCTTGATTTAAAAATATTTGTTTTTACTATTAACTTATTCTAGTTGTAAAAAAAAATTGGCCAACAAACAGGGAAACTTTTGTTTAACAGAATAAATTGCATCAGCTTTGAGGAGTATTATGAAAATGCGCACGTAAAAATTAATTCACTCCAGCTTGACTACACTGTACTTATTCTTCCCGTTTTGGGCATTAAGTAAATTGGAATGTTCGCTGTCTAAAACCGAAAGCTGTGCAAGCGACAAAGAAATCCACAATGCGGCAAGTGCCGTCGAATCGTCAGGGCGCGCCGCTTTATTACTCACTGCTATCGCCCCTGCAACTTGCCCGGCCACTTGCTCTTTCGAATGCGCCCTTCTCCTGCCGCGCTTCATACTCTGTCACTTCGTTGCTAACTGGCCATGGCAGTGACGCTGGCACCCAATAAGCTATTCTTCTGCACTAACGCTTTGCGCTCAAGAAAGTTTCGCTTGCTTTTGGCTTAGGCAACACGTCTTCGGCCAACGCGTTCAGTCTTCGCTGGACTTTAACCAACAACGGTTGCGTATGCGCAATTTAGGAACGCTTGATACTCGGGGGGGAAATATTTGAAGAAACAGCGTTTGAAACATTATTAATATAAAAACACATTCATTTATTAAGTTTTATAAATTTCGATCGCACTGATAAGTCGATAAATGTACGAAAGAAAATTTTTGTATACATTGAATTATCGGTTGGGGGTTTAGTAAAAGTGCGCGCTTTTTTTCCGGATAAAATCTATCGCTTACTAGACGCATTGTGAAAAAGAAGTGTTGAAAAAATTGTGTTTAGAAAAGTTAAATATATCTTTTTCAAATGGTTTAATCTAATCCAACAACATAGTCGACAACACTTACCTACGTCTGAGGCGCTAAAATTACCGCTTATTTATTTAGTGTTTATTTGTGCGGTTATTAAAATAAAATAAAGTACACAAGCAAAATATGTACTAAAAACAAATTGTGTGCCTTCTTTGTGGAGATCTGAAAATACCAACTTATTTATTTCTCTCTAAAAGCTGGTTAAGTGAAGTAAGTAAAGTTTCACAAGACGTTTTATTTTTTCATACAAACTTTAGACTGTTTCTCGAGAAAAAGTTTCTAATAACCTTTCCTATTTGCTTAGTATGAAAGTTTGCTTGGGGGCGTTTTTTGGGCAAGTCCAAAAATTTTCATCATTGCATTTTTTTCCAATGACCTGATTTGAAAGCGTGACAAACCATTGTTAAGTATCTACTTTATAAATGATATCTCGTTTATGTTCTGCAGGCCTAATTAGCTCAACATCTACGCGACTGAATTCAAATCTAGTTGACTTAAAAATAAACATTTTAGTATACCAATATATTTTGAATGTTGTTAAAGAGATGTATGTCTATCAATAATACCTTTTAAATAACACTGTGCAACAAATTTCAAAAAGTTGAAGGCTTGGACCAACATGTATGTATGTAGGTATGTAGGTATGAAATTTGAGAACGAAACAAAAAAACGTCATTGTACTTATTTATTTTTGAACCTTAAATTCACAACTTCAAATTGATCTAAACAGGAAATGGGAACCAACTTTTACAAATTATTTGGTATTTATTCATATTTTGACCTCTTTTAATGAATGAAATTGGTCTCATTCCCATCACGTTTTGAGTGTTTCACTGTGATGTTACGTGATTGTACCTAAGTGTTGCAATACAAGTTATTTTCTTGTATTTTTTCAGAAACAGACCACGGATGAAGAATTAAAAAACCTCTGAAAATAAAATTTATTTTGGCTACTGTTTACCGATTTGTTTGAGTTCGGTTGTTTGTTGGAACTCGGTATTAAGCAACTGCTAGTGATCGTCTTATACAGCTATGTAGGCAGGCGATGCTTGTACTCATTAAGAGCTTAAACAGACGGCAGCGTTGATCCGGATCAACTCAAGAGTTAACTGCAGTTGATCCGGATTAAGTTTTTTAAAAGTCGGAACGTATAATTTCCGGTACTATGGCCCAAAAGCCATTCGGAAAATCGTGGCAACACATTCGTTATCACAGTATTCTGTTAAACCGGTACTCTCGCTAGTTTTTTTTTTTAATGAAACGATGATGATTAAATTCAAGTTAAATTATAAAAAATAATGCTAATTCCCTCAAAAAATCTATGGATATTAAAGACGCGAGCTCAAAATTTGAGCGCGAAAAAGACGCGTAAAAGAACTTCGGCGAGAAAATACGCGTAAACTTATTTTCGCGATCAATTACGTTTGACTGCGTAGCAGTATACAAATTCCACAAGAGTTTACGCGTCTTTCTTCGTCGTCAAATAGGTATACTTCGCCGAAGTTTTCTTATGCCTCTTTTTTCATAAATTTTTTTTTTCACGCGACCTTTTTCGACGCCAAAACACTCGCGCTTTTTTATTCGTGTCTAGTGGTGATATGTATGTATATTGTGTGTATGCCTTTTTGTGATCATTTTTCAAGTTTTTTTATTTTTTAGTTAAAAAAAACTGTATTAAAAGAAGTTATGTCTTTTTATTCTAAAAACAAAATTATATGTTCGAATTCGATGCTTTAGAAATGTCACAATTTTTGTCCACAGAAATCTTTCACCGTATATATGCATGATGTCCAAATCATCGATAATGATGTTTAACTGAGAGGTAGTGATGGCCGGACATTAAACAACCGGCCCTAAAAGTATCGATAATAATACTCGATGATACAAATTATTGCTAGAAACTATTTGTACTCAGACGAAAAATTTTAGTTAAATTACCGTGTATATACCTACAATTTAAAAAGCAACAGCGGAGAAAGACGATTTTTGTTTTTTTGTTGAACAACACCAAATAACCTTTCATATCCTCCTAGATTTGAATGGAGTTACTTGAAAATGCTGAAACAGGAGACGTTAAGTAATGAGAAAGCTTATCGTTTTCGCAAAGGAATAATAAATATGCTTTAAAAGAGAGCAAATAAAAAACTTGAGCTTAGCGAAAGTATAGTGAAAAAGTGTGAATCATTCAAGAGAGTCTTTGTTTCTTTTATTTTTAAGGAAAATTAGATATTACTATTGATTAAAATCCAATCAACAAATGGGTAAAATTATGATCGTCGGAGAAAAAAAATTACATTTTTCATAATTCTAGATAGAAAAAGACGATCATGTTTCAGCCAAGACTTATTCAAATAATTTTAAGTAAAAGGTCTGAAGTTTCAAGAAAAAGCAATTGCTTTGTTTCAATTCATACGGCCCATTATCTCCTAAATTTCTTTAGCGAATTGAATTTTATTATTTTTTTAATAATAATAAAAAGCAGTCAAGCATTTTAGAACAAACAAAGGCTGGTTTAACTTACCTACTAAATTATCTGTGCTAATTGGCATACAATTATGATGAATAACTTAAGCATTCTTTATTTTTCCGTAATCTTCAATTGTCGTTTTCTATTTTTCTGCCAAACTTATCACATTCTTCCGGCTGAAATTATATACAAACATTGGTTGGTTGGTTGAAGTGGCGAGTTTAACAACTCCAATTAGCACTTATGCGTGCCGTTTTAAAACCACTACTCGCAATTTAAACCTGGAAATAAAGCCCGAGAAGAAAGCAGCAGAAGTCGGTTATATGTATATCTCAAACCCAGCCTGTGGAGTTCAAGAACTTAAGAAGTTGTGGAGTTCAAGAACTTAAGAAACCGCAGAAGCAGGGTTTGCCTAGAAGCCTGATTCTAGTCCTACATAGTGCTGGGCAATCGCAGAGCAGATGCTCCACCGTTTCTTCTGCATCTGGTGAATTACAACTACGACAATATATACGACCCATTCCTGGCCAGCTCGTCAGCCATCTCGTTGCCTTGAATTCCGCTGTGCCCCGGCACCCAGATCAGTGCAACGACGTGCCTGTCAGCTAAAACCCTAACGTTCTCCCTGCACTGTTTTATTATGCTGGAGGTGATGCTTACAGAGCCAAGTGCCTTGATCGCTGCCTGACTGTCTGAGAAAATAGCAATGCTGGTTCTCGCTATCTTCGAGGCTAAAATTATTTTGCACGTCTCATTTATGGCAAAGACCTCTACCTGAAAAACACTGGCCGAATTAGGTAATCGAATAGACTCTTCATTTGGAGGTCGGTTGAAAAAAATTCCCGCCCCTGCCCCACAATCCATTTTTGAACCGTCCGTAAAAATGGATACTTCGAAGCGTTCAGTAAAAATAGGATCCTTCCACTCCTTTCTTGATGGAAAAATCGTGCCGAAGTTTTTCTTGAAGAGAAGCGAAGGACAAATGTAGTCAGTTTTTTCGCGAATGCTTGGGTCGTTGAAAGAATACAGGATACGTCCATGCCCGTAAGCTGGTCTATTCTGGTAATAAAAATTTTATAACCGGTAAGTAAAGTTTATGTCAAATTCTAAACCCTTTTCGCATTCTGTGTAGTAATGTAACCGGTAAATTTGCAATGCCAGAATTTCCACAATTCTTCTGAATATTTTAACTGCACTACCAACTTGCCTAAAATAGTGGCGACAGTAAATTGTAATATTTCATGGTAACAAAATTTTCTGGGTACAAACCCATCAGTTAAGTGCAGAATAGGAATTATATCCGGATTTTCGAATATTCGAATCTCGAATATCTAAATGAAAATTTGGTATATCCGGAAGTTAACCGGTTATCTGTACCATTAAAAATACATTTGTGTTGTATTGAAGTGTTCTATTATTTATTTGGGCACTCGATATATTCAGTAATTTTGAGAACAATTTTACGAATCCGAACAGATATCCTAATACATGGATTTTAAGCATAGAACTATATTTCCTAAATTTATATTTATCAATTAATACGTTCAACTTTTCAGTTCCAAGGTCAACTTTCGCTCACTCAACGTCGTCCTAAATATAGCAGAAAATCCAATTTCCGTTCGGAGGCGGCGTAAAATTGTAGGGCCCTCCATTTGTGTAACAACATCAAGACGCATACCACAAATTGGAGGAGAAGATCGGCCAAACACGCCAAAATATTATTATTACTAGTAAGTAGTGGTGTGAAACCGCTTATTGTCTTCTGCTAGTATGTCAATAACTATAATTGTAACCAATAACTGTGAATCGATGAAAACTAAGAAACAAAGACGAATGAATGACCAAATGATGTGCTAGAAGCAAAGAATTTCTCTTTTTGTACGACAACTGAAGAAAGTGTTAAAAAAAATTAGTAGTTATTTGCATATGCATACAAAGGGGTTGGAATCTACCATGCTTTTCTATTATTCTAGTTTAATTTCCCTGCAAATAGGTTGAATGTATTGTAAAACATTTCTTTTCAGAATTTTAGTGAGCAGAAATCTACTAATTTTAATGAAATTCTATATGTACATTTGTTTTAACTTGTCTTGTTTTAAGGTAATTTACGTCAAAATTGCCTTAAATGGATATATCGACATTCAAACAGTGGCAACTCATAACTGGCATCCTGGTCAAACATTGAAAATTTTATTAGTATGTTTAACTCAATTTCAAAAAAAAAAATTGCCAATTATGAGTTGTCTATGTTTGACCATCGATACACTTCTCAAACATGTGTTTTCAATCATATTGCACACTTTGGAATCAGGTTACAAATAACTGTCGTTAACGCTTGACCAGGGTGGAAATATTTATGAAACCTAAATACTCTCAAAACAAATTTTCAAACTACAACTATTTATTTACATATACATACACATTTAAGATTTCTATATTCAAAAACTTCGAAAACAAACCTTAAAAATTTCCAATATTACTACAAAAGCTTTTATGCAAGTAATCTTATCCAATTCGCAGAGTTTTGCAATTTTGTAATCGAAGTCAAAATCCACTTCCGTTTTTTGTAACGTCACGCCAGCGCGTATGTTTACTAATATCTTTGATTCACCATCACCAACAGTTGTAATTTTTTTACTTTTTCAATATAAAGAGACCCGCCTTTTTATTTTAAAATCGCTTAGTATTTAACCGTGTGTGTTGCATATATTTTGCATGGGAGAATATTTATTCTTTTTTTTTG